CAGGATACAAAGCTTGTCTGAGGAGAGGCTCCAGAAACCACACTCCAAAGTGAGGGTGACCTAGAAATAAATCCCCTTGGGGACTATAAGCAAAATTACCTGTTTCAAACCTTGGCACAGAGCAGCAGCCCACACACTGGTTTTCAGCCTGATTTTTCCCTACCTGGGTTAATCTACAAATTCTTTTTTTTTTTTTTTGAAGATTTTATTTATTTATTTGACAGAGAGATAGAGGAGCACAAGCAGAGGGAATGGCAGAGGGAGAAGCAGGCTCTGCACTGAGCAGGGAGTCCGATGCGGGACTCGATCCCAGGACCCTGGGATCATGACCTGAGCCGGAGGCAGACGCTTAACCATCTGAGCCACCCAGGCGCCCTAATCTACAAATTCTTAAGCCAAACTTTAGTTGAAAGTGATTTAAGCTAGTAGTAGCCCAGTGCCTGACAGAAGCAAAGAAGCCTTTTCTGGAGAAGCCTGCCTTCACCACAGATGAAGCTCTAAGTTACATGAGTAACGCTCAGTCAAAAATCACTAAACACAGGCCACACAACACCATGAGGGAGAACCAGCAGAAAGGAAACTGAACGTAACAGTTGAATTGGAATATTCATATATGATGTAAAATAAATATGTTTAATATGTTTCAGTAACTGAGAAAACTTAAAAATAGAAGTGTAAGCAGATTTGAAAAAGAAGTGGAGAAATTTATTTAAGCGGTCGGCTTAGCAGCAGGATAGACAGAGCCAAAGCAGAGTTAGTAAACAGGAGGCAGAACTGAAGAAAGGAAGGAGAATGCAGCCCAGAGAAACAGAGATGGAACATTCCAAGAGAGATTAAGAGTCATGGAAGATGGAGAAGGTCTAACGTAACGCTATTTAGAGCTTTAGAGGGACGCCTGGCTGGCTCAGTCAGTAGGATGGGCGACTCTTGATCTCAGGGTCGTGAGTTCAAGTCCCATTTTGGGTGTAGGGATTACTCAAAAAACTTTTTAGAGCTCTAGGAAGAGAGAATGTGACAGAGGCGTTGTGTGAACGGATAACGCCTGAGAATATTCCAGAACCAATGAAAGAGGCTGATCCTCGGGATCAAGTAGCTCAGGTAGAACTGGAGACTGGGGTGGGGGTGGCGCCAGGGAGACCACTGAGACGTCCACTGCCGTCCAGCTCAGAGCTGACAGTGGCTGGGACCAGGGTTGTAGCCGTAGAGGTCGTCACTGGGTACGTTTCAGGAGAGGAGCCGACGGGACAGATTACAGGGCGTGGGAGAGCAAGAGAGGGTGAGCTCGAATGGGCGGATGATGAAGCCTGGGGAGAAGCCGGCAAGTGAGAGGCACGCCCTGAGCCAGGTTTGGCCACGCTGGATATGAGGTGCCTGGTGGACTTGTGGGCAGAAACGTCCAGTAGGCGGCTGGACGGCAGGGCGTTGGGGCCGCAGAGGGAGTGTGGGAGAGACGGGCACAGAGTGCTAAAAATAGAACTCGAGCCACACACACCCTCCACAGTTCTGGTCGCCACATCAGACAGAGTAAAAACAAACGGGTGAAACTTCTTTTAATATTTTAATTTAACCCGGTCCATCTAAAATATTTTCATTTTGACACTGGATCAACGTGAAAATTGTCCAGTGATTGTTCATGTCATCACCACATGTGAGTGTAACGTACACACACGTTATCTCTCAGTTTGGATTGGCCTCGAGTCCCGCGTCCAGTAGCCATGTGTGGCTGGGGCCACCGTACGGGACAGCGTGGGATGGATGGTAATAAAGCCGCAGCCGGAGGAAGTCCCTCGGGGAAGACATGAGAAGGGATGAGAAGTGACCTGAGGCTAAGCCGCGGGGTGGCCCAGGGTGTCCAGGTCTGGCCAGGGAGAGATGGGAGGGAAATGCAGAGTGGGCTGTGGCTCGGAACCCGAAGAAACTCTGAGGACAGAGTGGTCAGTCGTGGCAAAGCTGCCGGCCACCCTGAGCAGGGAGAAGCCAAGAAGGAGGCCAGTGTGACAGACTCATCTGAGCAGAGGTGACACCCAGTTTCACACCAGGGAATGGATGCTGAGGGCTTGTGCCCTGCCAGAATCGGGGGCCAGGCTGGGGTTGTCTGAGCGCTCTGCTGGCCTCTCTCGACACCTGAAACTTGGCCTTGATGGTGACTGGGGCACAGAGCAATATATATTCTTTTTAGGTAGATTTTTTTTTTTTAATTATGATAAAATTCACATGACATCAAGTTCACTGTGTCAACAGTTTACAGTGTACAATTCAGTGGTCTTTAGTATATTCACAGTGTTGTGCAGCCACCACCACTAATCACCCCAAAAAGAAGCCCATACTCATTAGTAGCTCACTCCCCATTGCCTTTCCCTCTAGCTCCAGACAGCCACTCATCCGCTTTGTGTTTCGTCAGGTTTTGCCTATTCTGGACATTACAGATAAATGGAAGCATGCGATACGTGGCCTTTTGTGTCTGGCTTTTCACTCGGCATCATGTTTTCGAGGTTCTTCCATGTTGTATGGAGCTGTACTTCTGTCCTTTTTTATGGCCTGGTAATAATATTCTGCTGTCTGGAGGGACTGTGTTTTAGTTATCCACTCATCAGAAAGGTTCCTTTTGACTCTTGTGAATGATGTACAAATACATCGTGTGAACTTTGTTTTCAGTTCTTATGGGTAGATGCCTGTGCGTGGAATTGCTGGGTCATGTGGTATCACAGATTTTTTTTTTTTTTTAAAGAAAGGAAGTAGTTGAATTCCCCCGTCCCGTCCCCCACATCATCTCCATCTTCCCCTCCCTCCCCGTGCCCTGCATTCGATGGTCATTATTCCCACGTACCTCCCTGTCCTTTTGTACCTGGGCACACGCCCTGCGTTCCGTAGTTTCAAGCTTTACCTAAATAGTTGCACAGTCTCTGGTTAAGTTAACCAAGGTGATAAATAGCCCTTATTCCTCCATTTGGTGTACGGTGGGCGTTTCCTCACCCATAGCTGGAGGTGATGGTAGGGGTCACCTCCCTCGAGGGCTGGAGAAACACCTAGAACAGAGCACGGCCCGGGGTCAGGACTCGTGCCATGAGCTGTGACGATGGTGAAGACCATTAATGCAGCACCATTCCGCTGGTCTCGGACAGACCTTCCACTCGTTTTGGTTTTAAGTTGATGACGGTCAGTCAGCAAACGTTCTCGCACCGTCACCTTCAACACGCACGCCTGCCCACCCCCAGGGTGGGTGTCCAGGAGCAGCCTCGCCGGGCTTGGTCCACATCACTCTCAGTGGCACGCCAACCCGGGGTAGCCCCGCTCCTCTTCTGAGGGCCTGTCCCCGCATCTCCTCGAGGGCGGCTGTATGCGAGGCCTGGCTGGCTTGTGTCTGCCTGGCTGGCGGGAGGAAACAGCACTGCCTTGTCGCGGCTCCCCCCGCAGCATGCCCCACCAGTCAGGACCTCAAACCCACGCGTCTGGCCCCGGTTCCTCGGTTTGTCGTGAAGAGATCAATGAGTTCGTCCCGGAGGGTGCCTGGCTCAGTGCTGGTGCCTTTCCTGCTGTCACCCCAGCGTTGGTGCTTCCCTGCTCGTCGCCGGCAGTGGCTCCATCTCCCCCTGGGTAAAAGCAGGGCCGTCGCCATGGCCCTCGATGCCCAGCATGGTCTGGCCCCCTGTCCCCCTGCCCAATCTCCCGGCTTCTCCCCTCCACTGCTCGCTCATTCACGGCAGCCACACACGGGCCCGTGGCCGCCTCGGGGCCTCCACACAGGCTGTGCCTTCTCCCTGGGATGTTTCGGGCAGAGATTTTTGGGGTTTTCTCATTAAACTCAGTTTTCCATTCACCTGCCACCTCATCAGAGAGGCCTTCTTGCAAAACAGCGTTCCTAGTGCTCCTTGCACCTGCGCTCATTGGCACCATAGCACTGAAGCCGGACAGGGTCTGGTGTGTGTGCTGGGTTATGGGCTGCCTGGCTAGAAGGTAAGCTCTGTGAGGACAGACATTTGGACCAGTCTGTCCACCCCTCTATCCACGGCGCCTCCAGCAGAGCCTGCTGCCCAGAGGCGCTCAGGAAAGTGCTTGGTAAATGAATGAAGGTGCACAGGCAGGCTTGACATTTTGTGTAGTTCTGCCAGTCACCCAAAGGTTACTGAGATGGAACCCATTTTGCAGATTAAAAAACCTGAGGCTTGGTGGGTGATGAGGCAGACTGGATCCCTGGTCCCTCTGGCTCTCTCCACCTGCTGCTAGCCGCCCTTCCTGGGAGGAGTGGTAGAGGAGGGAAGGTCTCTGTGGGGCTGGGGTCGCGCTGACCTCCCCCCACCCAATTGTGTCGCCACAGGGACAGCATGGACAGCGTGAAACAGAGCGCGGCCCTGTGCCTACTACGGCTGTACAAGGCCTCACCCGACTTAGTGCCCATGGGCGAGTGGACGGCCCGGGTGGTGCACCTGCTCAACGACCAGCACATGGTGAGCCCTGGGCCTGGCGCCCAGAGACCCCGGGCTGCTGCCTCCCAGAGCCACCCCCACCAATTCACCCAGAGACCCTTCTGCCTTGGACGCTCATGTGGAAGCCCAGGGAGTGTCCCACCCCCGCCCTGATTCCCACCTGGATGCCCAGGGCCCCCCACCTCTGTCCCTGCCTTTATTCAGGCACCTAGAGATCTTTGGCCCGTGTCCCCGGTGTCCCTGTCCCCCCCCCCAAGTATCCAGAAACCCCCATGTCCCCCCCTGATTCCCCCCCCCAGCCCCGACTGCCCAGGGATCGTGTCCGTTGTCCCCAACACCCATCACCCACCCAGCCCTTGAGTCTCTGCTTTCAGATCTGCAGCCTGGACACTTGTCTCCAGGCTGACCCTCCCCCCACAGCCCTGACCCGCCACTTGTCTGCCTCTGCAGGGTGTGGTCACGGCCGCTGTCAGTCTCATCACCTGTCTCTGCAAGAAGAACCCGGACGACTTCAAGACGTGCATCTCCCTGGCTGTGTCTCGCCTGAGCCGGGTGGGTGTGGTCTTGTCATAGGCTGTGGGAGATGGCCCTGGCATCTCTGTCCCCTGGAACGCCTCCCTGGTCCCCCTCACTCTCCTTCAGAGGCAGCCCCACACAGTGGTTATGAACTCAGCCTCTGAGCTGGGCTCATCCTGGCTCTGCCACTTCCTGGCTGTGTGGCCCCAGACAAGTGGCTTCACTTCTCTGGGCCTCACTGACGCCATCTGTTCAATGGGGGCGATGCCAGTGCCCAGCTCACAGCGTAGCTGCCGGCAATCAGTCTGTATAATGTCAGTATGGGCCTGGGTGTCATGAGCACCCAGCAGGTGAGAGGGGCTGTCCTGATCTCCTCCCCCTTACCTCACTGTCTCTTGCTTCCTCCTGCATTCCCTGCTGTTCCTCCTGCGCCTCTTTCTCAAACCTTTCCCTTCTGTCCTTCCTTCTGCTCCTCTTACCACCTTCGCCCCTTGGGAACAAACCCTGAGGCCGCCTGTGTACCAGGCTCTGGGGACACAGATGAGTCAGACCTGAGCCCTCCAGGAGCTCCCTGTCCTGTTCGGGGGGAGGGAGATGCGGCAGGGCAGGCCGACTGGCAAAGCTTTTCATAAAACGGATGATCTGGGATGTCACGGAGGTAGTACGGGGCATTGTAGACCCCAAAGGAGGCACTTACCCCAGCCTGGAAGTCTAGGAAGGCTTCCTGGGAGAGGTGATTCCTGAATGGAGACTCGGAGTGAGTATAAACACTTCCTGGGAGGGTCAGGAGAGGCCTGGATTCGCAAGCAAAAAGAACAAACCCCAGCTCATTCAGTCGCTTTGTCGTCCATTCACCATACAGCTGAATGCTCCTGCGTGCCGGGCTGGTCGGGGAGACGCGGACAGGGACCCTGGGGGCCGGCACACGCCATCGTGGCCATGGTACATGGGAATGCTTCCTGGAGGAGGGATTCCCCAGCTTCAGCAGGAGTTTTGCATAAGGAAAAAAGTCCCGCGCACTCCTGCTAAGTCCCCACCTCTTTCCCGAGCCTTTCTTATGTCCGATCTTGCACTAGGCCTGGGAACCCCGAAAAGGGTCAGAGCCAGTTCCTAACCCCTGAGCTGCTTCCAGCTGTGGGGGGACCACTACAGCGACACAAGTCTGCAGTGAGCTGGTGTGATCTGTGTTCTGTGGAGGAGCCCAGAGCGTTGCGAGGCTCCTGTTTGGAGTAAGGGGCTCACAGGAGGGACTCGGGTTGGCAGAGACTTCCCCTCCTGACAGCAGCGTTACATGCAAAAGTCGGGAGCCCTGGCTTAGGTCGCTCGCTGTGTGCTCCAGGCCTCCTCACTCCCCTCCCCGGGCCTCAGATTCCTGCACGCCTTTCGGAATACAGTGTGGCTCTGCCCTGCCCCTGCCCCGTGCCCTTCCCTGTCCATGCCTCACCCCCTCTTCCGCCCCCAGATCGTCTCCTCGGCCTCCACCGACCTCCAGGACTACACCTACTACTTCGTCCCGGCGCCCTGGCTCTCGGTGAAACTCTTGCGACTGTTACAGTGCTACCCACCGCCAGGTACCGCCGAGCCCACCCGGCCCGGGGCCTGGGGCCTGTCAGGGTTTCTGTGAGGCTGTAGGTGTTGGGGGGCAGTGCAAACAATCAGACAGATCATCGTGCTTCATGGATCTGCTGTGGGCCAGGGTCCCTGTGAAGCCACGCTTGTGTTTGCTCCAGCCCTGTAACATAGGGGCTTTTGTCACACCTGCCTTACAGACGACAAAACCAAGGCTGGGGGAGGGGAGGTCCTTGCCCAGGGTCCCCGAGATCCCCAGCAGATCAAGGGATGATTCCAGGCTGTGCTGTTTGAATGAGCATAGCTCTGTGCGAGATTTTCATGACCTTATTGCTCAAGGTCACAGCCATTCGTGGGGATGATGAGCCTAGCGTGAGGCAGGTAACACACCGGGGGTGTCTGTGCCCTCCCGCCAGGGCTAGTGAGGGGGAGCCATCCCTGTAATATGCAGACAGGGAGCCTGAGGCTTGGAGATGAGACGTCACGTTTCCAGGCCCAGGCAGCGACTAAGAGATGGAGCCTGATGCCAGCATCTGGCTCCAAGTCCCTCCCTCTACCCCATAGGCCCGGGCTCCCCCTGAGCTCCCATTTCCTCAGCCGTCTGACCTCACAGAGCAGTTTGGAGGGACCCCGTGCTGAGGTGCTCAGCGCACAGTAGGTGATTGATAAACCAGCTCCCCTCAAGTTCAGCCAGGGTACCGAGCACCTGCTGTGGTCAGGGACTGAGGTGTGGCCCTGAGTGTTCACAGGCACCTGTGCATGAGTGTGTGTGTGTGCACACGTGCATATCTGTGAACGCATGACTGCGTGTGCACGTCTGTGTGTGCACGTGTGCCAGTGTGTGTGCACGTGCACACACTAATGGACTGTATAATGGAAGTGACACCAGAGGCCCTTCCCAGCCTGTGAAAGCCAGCGGTGAATTTTGTCTCGTGGCCTTGGGAAAGCCTTGTTCCCCTTCTGGGCCTCTTTCTTATCCTGTAGGGAGGAGCTCAGGCACATCTCTAAGCTCACCTCCATCCCAGGAGTCCCGCCTCATCATTTTGGGTTGTGCCCAGAGCAGGCACCTCGCCTACTCTCAGCCTCTGCGTCAGGAATTATAGCTGTGGCCCCGAGCAAACAGTGCTGGCCCAGCGAGGCCACCTCCGATTTATCTACGAGAAATTTTTCCGATGCTGTATGATGAAAAATTCTCTAACGCCCAGACAAGTAGAGCGCACCCATCATCCAGACTTCACATTTTGCTGTGCATGCATGCTCTCAGTTTGCTTTTTTTCTGAAGTATTTAAAAATGAGTTAGAGACATCATGATGTTTTCATCTTTGAATACCTTGTTGCACATTTCTAAAAACTATGGGCGCTTTTATTCACAGCAGCAATTCTGTGGTCATGCTTGAAGCTCACAACAGCTCCCCAGTGGTCTCAAAGATCCACTGTGGATTTTCCTAATTAGCCCTGAAATACTCACAGGCTGTTCAGACTGGGATCCAATCAAGATACAAGTATTTTTTTAATGTTTTTTTTTTTAAAGATTTATTTGCTTATTTTAGAGGGAGCAGGGGGAGGGGCAGAAGGAGAGAGAGAGAGAGAGAGAGAAGCCGACTCCCTGCTGAGTGCGGACCCCAATGCAGGGCTCGATATCATGACCCCGAGACCATGACCTGAGCTGAAATCAAGAGGCAAACGCCTAACCAACTGAGCCATCCAGGCACCCCTCAAGATACAAGTATTGAGGGAGGCTTGGCTGGCTCAGTCAGTGGAGCACCCATCTCTTGATCTCAGGGTCATGGGTTTGATCCCCACATTGGGCACAGAGATTACTTAAAAATTAAAGAAAAAAGAAGAAGAAAAAGAAAGATACAAGTGTCGAATTTAATTATTTCTCATAAAGCTCTGTCTTAATCTGGAAGAATTGCCCCTTTATTCTGTGCCATTGGCTTTCACCCCACCTTTTTGTTTTTTAAAGATTTTATTTATTTATTTTGACAGAGAGAGAGAGGGACAGTGAGAGAGGGAACACAAGCAGGGGGAGTGGGAGAGGGAGAAGCAGGCTTCCCGCCGAGCAGGGAGCCCGATGCGGGGCTCGATCCCAGGACCCTGGGACCATGACCCGAGCCGAAGGCAGACGCTTAACGACTGAGCCACCCAGGCGCCCCTCACCCCACCTTTTTATTATGAAAAATTTCAAACAGATCACTTGCAAGAACAGTGTCATGAACACACAAGGCCCCTGAGACCCCGCGGAGACCATGAGTGCTGCTCTTGGCACCCCAGTTGGCTTGCTGTCTCAGACACACACTTACTTGCTCACTTACTTGACATAAGTTGCAGACATCATAATGCTCCGCCCACCTAAAATACACCCACACACATTTCATGAGACGCAAGAATACTGCACAAAACCATAGTGCCCTTGTCACACCTGAGAAGAGTCAAGATGACAGTGTCATCTGCTGTCCAGGCACCGTCCACACCCCGCTCACTGTCCACAGCTTTATTTTTATGGCTTAAACAAAATACAGTACAATTGAGGGCCACGACTTAGATTTCATTATGTCTTTGTCCCTTTTGGGGGGTCTGGAATAGTCCTCCCAACCCCCCACCCCACTACCTGTTTTTGAAGAAACTGGAACAGTTTGGCGTTACAAGCGTGTCCCGTATTCTGGATTTGGCTCAGAGCTGCCTTGTGTCCTGTAGTTTATCCCTCTACCCCGAGAGCCGCCTGATACATCCGGGTGTGACATTTTCCTCTAGAACACTTGACAGCCTTTCTAGGCACATGTTGTTACCTCGCACCCCACGGAATGGCAGTTATTGGTGTTGGTGTGAGCCCCTGGTTGGCGCGTATCTGTCTCAGGTGCTCAGACTGCTCCTTGGGGAGACCCAGGTTTCACAGCGTCTCTGGGGAAGGTTTCTTTGCTCTGTAAGACACCTAAAGGGTATCAGTGCTGCAGAAGGGGAAACTGAGGCTCACAGGTGGGAGTCAGCACTGAGCAGGACAAGAGCCGAGGTCTGGAGTGTTCTCTTCTCTTGGCCTGCTGCCACCTCCCCCGGTCCCCGAGAGACCGAGGATGAGCTTGAAGGATCAGAGACCCCAGCCCACAGCTGCAGGGCCCACACTTCCTGTGGAAGATGAGAGCCCTGGGGTGGCCCCTTGCCCCGCACATGGGCAGGGCTGACAGAGAGCTTATCCTGGAACATGCCCTCCATTTCCCCAGAGGATGCTGCCGTGAAGGGGCGGCTGGTGGAGTGTCTGGAGACCGTGCTCAACAAGGCCCAGGAGCCCCCCAAGTCCAAGAAGGTCCAGCACTCCAACGCCAAGAATGCCATCCTCTTCGAGACCATCAGCCTCATCATCCACTACGACAGGTGCCTGCCTTGGGGGGGCGCTGGGGCCTGGGGACCTGGACTCCTGCATCCTAGGAGAATAGTGCTGGGAATCGTGACTGCGAGATAGGAGGACAATGAAGCTGTGAACTGTTACCTCCCCAGAGTGGTGCTGGACCCCTCCTGGAAAAAGCAGAATTCCCGACTCTCTTCACTTGGGCCCAGCGGCCCAGATGTCTGGGTGGCCAGGAATGGTCGTGACGGGAATGGAGGGCAAGAGTTAAGACCCAGGTCGTGAAGGTGGTGTGGGATGGGTCAGCTGGGCCCACGTCCTCCACCTTCTCACGTCCCCCCGTTTCTGCTGCTTGTTGGCAGTGAGCCCAACCTCCTGGTGCGGGCCTGTAACCAGCTGGGCCAGTTCCTGCAGCACCGGGAGACCAACCTGCGCTACCTGGCCCTGGAGAGCATGTGCACGCTGGCCAGCTCCGAGTTCTCCCACGAGGCGGTCAAGACCCACATCGACACTGTCATCAACGCCCTCAAGGTATGCCACGTTGGAGCCTGCCCCAGGCCAGGCGCTGTACGCTGGCCTGTGTCTCTGCTCCCTCAGAGAGGTGCAGGGCTCAGAGGCCATTGCAGAGCCTAGGACATACTGCATCTGCTCTCCTCCCTCAGACGGAGCGGGACGTCAGTGTACGACAGCGGGCTGCTGACCTCCTCTATGCCATGTGTGATCGGAGCAACGCCAAGCAGATCGTGTCAGAAATGCTTCGGTACCTGGAGACGGCTGACTATGCCATCCGTGAAGAGATTGTAAGTTCCGGGAGGAGCTGAGCACCTGGACTTCTGGGTCTGAGGGAGGAGGGGCTGGGGGCCGAGCCTCGTGGGGTCTCCAGATGGGGACGGTGGTGAGCCCAGATCTGGTTATTTCAGTTTGACTGTCCTCCCTCCCCGGCTGGCAGGTTCTGAAGGTGGCCATCCTGGCCGAGAAGTACGCAGTAGACTATAGCTGGTACGTGGACACCATCCTCAACCTCATCCGCATTGCGGGCGACTACGTGAGCGAGGAGGTGTGGTACCGTGTGCTGCAGATCGTCACCAACCGTGATGACGTCCAGGGCTACGCTGCCAAGACCGTCTTTGAGGTCAGCACCCCCACTTCACCCCCACAGTGGGACAATGAGGCAGAGCCAGGACAGCTGGGGCTGTGGGGCCAGCCCACTGTGGCCACCGTCCTGCTCCCTCCTCCTCAGAGCAGTGCCTTGGCCTCCCTGGGCCACCAAGGGACCCGGGGGCCGGGTCCTCACAGGCCAGCGTGAGGGTCAGCAGGCCGTGGGTGTGGGCCATCCAGTGCGTAGTCACTGATCTGCCTGTCCCGGTGGTTTCCCACTCCTTCTGCCCCAGGAAAGGGGGCCTCGTGCCGCCAATTTTACCACCTGTGTGAGCAGAGGCCAGTCACTTGACTGGTCCGTGCCTGAGTTTCCCCACCTATTATTCCACCCACATCATAGCGTTCATGAGAGTTCCACAGGTTAATGGGCGTCACAGGCTTAGCCCTGCACCTGGCACCCCTGAGCAATCCTAAGTCAGGGCGCACCGCTCCCTGCTGCCCTCACCCGCCCTGTCCCTGCCTCCAGGCGCTCCAGGCCCCCGCCTGCCATGAGAACATGGTGAAGGTCGGCGGCTACATCCTCGGGGAGTTTGGGAATCTGATTGCTGGGGACCCCCGCTCCAGGTGAGGCGGTAAACACATGCACTTCTGAAGGGTGCGGGGCTGGTGGTGACGGGGCCCCCCGGGGATCCTCTCAGCCCCTCACACAACCATCCAGTTGTTGCAAGACAACGCAGCTCCCAGGAGCCTCCAGGAGCTCCTAGGACAGAGCATTGCAACGGCCACCGCCCTGGGTGGCCTCTGCCGGGGTGGCACTCCCGGGAGGAGGCAGGGGAGCCACATGCTGATGCCCCCCGCCCTCCCCAGCCCCCCGGTGCAGTTCTCTCTGCTGCACTCCAAGTTCCACCTGTGCAGCGTGGCCACCCGGGCCCTGCTGCTGTCCACCTACATCAAGTTCATCAACCTCTTCCCGGAGACCAAGGCCACCATCCAGGGCGTGCTGCGGGCCGGCTCCCAGCTGCGCAACGCTGACGTGGAGCTGCAGCAGCGCGCCGTCGAGTACCTCACGCTCAGCTCAGTGGCCAGCACGGATGTCCTGGTCAGCGCTGCGGCCCCCGCGTGCCCCTCCTCCACCCCTGCACCTTGGCCACCCTCTCCCCTGCCACCAAGCTGCCCCCGACCTGCTCTCGCCCTCTGACCCCACAGGCCACAGTGCTGGAGGAGATGCCGCCCTTCCCGGAGCGAGAGTCGTCCATCCTGGCCAAGCTGAAGCGCAAGAAGGGGCCCGGGGCCGGCAGCGCCCTGGATGATGGCCGGAGGGACCCCAGCAGCAATGACATCAATGGGGGCGTGGAGCCCACCCCTAGCACTGTGGTGAGTCCCAGGGGCTGGGCCATCGGGGCTGGGGCTGCTGGGTGCTGCCCCTTCTCACCTCCCCCTGCACCTCCCTGCAGTCGACGCCCTCGCCCTCTGCCGACCTCCTGGGGCTGCGGGCAGCCCCTCCCCCAGCCGCGCCCCCAGCGACCTCGGGTGCAGGGAACCTCCTGGTGGATGTCTTCTCCGACGGCCCGGCTGCGCAGCCCAGCCTGGGGCCCACCCCCGAGGAGGCCTTCCTCAGGTACCGCCGGCCCGGGCCCCTGGGCTGACCCTTTTCCATCTGCCCCCTCACAGCCCCCTCCTCCCTCCCTGTCCCTGTGCCTCTGTCGCCGTGGCTGCCACTTCCCCTGGCCTCCTCTCTCCCTCTGGCCACTCTGGACTCTTGGCTGACCCTGGCCACCCTGTGTTGTCCTTCCCCCATCGCCATGTCTCAGCCTGCTTTTCCTTCTCTCTTTCCCTCCTCCCTCTTTCTCTCCCCCCCCCCCCCCCCCCGCCCTCTGCTGCCTCTCTGGGATTGGCTGCCTGCCACGCCTGTCTTCTCTTGTCTGCTCTGGGATTGGATGGCCCAGCGAGCTGGAGCCGCCTGCCCCTGAGAGCCCCATGGCTTTGCTGGCTGACCCAGCTCCAGCTGCTGAGTAAGGGGTGGCCTCAGGGTTGGGGGGGGCAGATCTGTGTCCCCAGGGAGGGTTAGGGGACTTCAAGCTCTTATCAAGGGGTTCTTGACGAGCTGCAGAGGCAAAGATTTGGAGGGGAGTGAAAGTCGGGGCCCCTCTGACATGGGGCAGGGGTGGTGGCACACACCAGGGTCCTGTTCCCATTACAGGCAGTCGCCAGTCTGATTCTGGGGTTCTTTGTGGGAATCTGGGTCTGTGGATTCTGGGGTTCTGTCCTTTGAGGGGTTACTGTCTTCCACCTTTAGCTTGGGTCTTCTCTAGCCCCCCAACTTCTTCCCATCTCACTGCTTTCCCCACTGCAGCCCAGGTCCTGAGGACATCGGGCCGCCCATCCCAGAAGCCGATGAGCTGCTGAATAAGTGAGTCATGGGAAAGATCAGGGAGGGAATGGGGACAGGTGGCGAGCACCGAGACGGGCCCAGACAGGCACCCCGGGCATCCTGAGCTCCCTGCCGCCCCCACCCAGGTTCGTGTGCAAGAATAATGGGGTCCTGTTTGAGAACCAGCTGTTGCAGATTGGAGTCAAGTCGGAGTTCCGGCAGAACTTGGGTGCGTCCAGAGGGGGGTGGTGTGGGGATAGGGTTTCGGGGACACCTGGGTTTGGGTGGCATCTGGAGAGGAGGTTGAAGGAAGTCAGACGGAGCCCTGCCCTTCCCCACCCTCTGCAGGCCGCATGTATCTCTTCTATGGCAACAAGACGTCCGTGCAGTTCCAGAACTTCTCACCCACTGTCGTCCACCCTGGAGACCTCCAGACTCATATCCTCCCGGCCTGGCCCAGCCCCCTCGCCCGAGCCCTGACCCTCCCGGTCTGCCTTCCTGGCCACTGGGATGCAGATGGACCCAGGTCCAGACCCCTGTTCAGTCTTCTTGAGAACCTGCGTTACTTGTTTGAGATACAGTGTCGTCTGTGAGACAGGGGTGGGCCTCTTCTCCCCAGGACAGCCTGAGGACAGTGAGGTGATGGGATAGGTGTGCCTCAGTTTGTCCCTGTCAGGCCTCTTCCGTGCCCTGACCTTGCCCTCCCACTGGGCTTCACACCCACGATTCCAGTGCCTTCTGCATTCAAGAGCCAGGCCTGCAGGTCTGGATGCTGAGCAGGGCCTTCTGTGTGATCTGAGCCAGTCACTTGGCCTCTCTGAGCCTTCCTGTTCCCTGTCTGAAGTGTAGACCCTCTTCCCTCTTATAGCATTGTTGTGAAGGTCAGTGTAGTTGGAAAACTCTGGAAGGGTGGCTGGCATAGAGGAAGGTGTCAGTTCTCCTTTCCCTGTCATTTCACGCCCACAAAATGATAGGGGCTAGGCCCCAAAGCTTTGAGGACCTTTTCAGTTCTCGGCCTCCTTCAGCCAGCCTTCATCAACATCTGCAGAACCCTAGGCGGGCTCAGCTCTGTGCTGGGCATGGGTGGGGGACAGGGGCGGGAGATGCCTAAGACCCCATCCTTGCCAACTTGAAGGTAGATGTGGTAACGCTGCCGCCATTTTTGGTGCCCTGACCATGTGCCAGACACACGGACAAGTGAGCGTGCTGAATTATTTCACTGAATGCTGAGGACACTGTGTCCATTTTGCAGCTGAGGCTAAGAGGTAAAGTAGCTTGCCCAGAGTCCCCGAGGTGGTAAGATCCAGGATTCAAACTCGAGTCAGCCATCCCAGCCCCGGAAGGGCTTCTGCCCTAATATGGTGCGACATGTGCCATAATGGAGGTCCCTGAGCCCACCATGAAAGGCCAGAGTAGGCACCCGGGGGGGGGTGGCCGGAGGTCTCACTTAAGAAGGGCTTTGAAGTTTGGGCCTTGCAGGATGCGCCCGGGATGGCAGGCCCGGCTCCTCAGTGGCCTGCAGGCTGGGGTTCGGAACCAGCCAGGGGGTTCATGGCCACAACCGCGGCGGGGGGTAGCGGGGGCGCCGCCTCGTTCTGGCTTCCTTGACCCCCGGCGGCTACAGCTAGCAGTGCAGACCAAGCGCGTGGCCGCACAGGTGGACGGCGGGGCGCAGGTGCAGCAGGTGCTCAACATCGAGTGTCTGCGGGACTTCCTGACGCCCCCGCTCCTGTCCGTGCGCTTCCGGTGAGTCGGGCGGGGCCCTGCCCAGCGGCCGCGGTCTCCTAAATGGGGGCCGGGCTCTGATGGAGCCTCCTTGCTCCCGCCCCCATGCCAGGTACGGGGGCGCCCCCCAGTCCCTCACCCTGAAGCTCCCGGTGACCATCAACAAGTTCTTCCAGCCCACGGAGATGGCGGCCCAGGATTTCTTCCAGCGTTGGAAGCAGCTGAGCCTGTGAGCAGCGAGGGGGGCTGAGCCGCAGCTGCGCTTGGGGGGGGGGTGGTGGCGCGGGGCCCTCCAAGCACCTGACCCGAACCTTTCCCCACCTCCAGCCCCCAACAGGAGGCGCAGAAAATCTTCAAAGCCAACCACCCCATGGATGCAGAAGTCACTAAGGCAAAAGTGAGTGACCACTGGGTGAGACAGGAGAGGGGCCCCTGGACTCCCAGCCCAGGCCGACCTATCCCTAACTGGGGTTTGGGGAGCGGTACCCATTGTTCCGTGCCTCTGCTTTCCCATCTGTAAAAGGGGAACCGCAAGGGTTTCGGGGGAACCCCGGTTTGCTACTGCCCGGTGGCTCCCAGATCTGGCACCCTCTGACGGCTGCCCTTCTTCCCCAGCTCCTGGGGTTTGGCTCTGCTCTCCTGGACAATGTGGACCCCAACCCTGAGAACTTTGTGGGGGCTGGAATCATCCAGACTAAAGCCCTGCAGGTGGGCTGTCTGCTCCGGCTGGAGCCCAACGCCCAGGCTCAGGTGAGTGGTGGTCTGGGAGGCGCCCCTGAGACTGACAGGTTACCCCCTGCCTCAGTGTGTTCCTTTTTAATCCTGCCCTTCTGCTCTTTGTCCCCGTGTTCTCTGTCTACTGTCTTCCTCGCCACATCCTTGCCACCCTTCTGGGTGGGTCTCACTTTTACCCTTCACCCTTTCCCTCCTGTGTTGTTTTTATTCCTGCCTCTTGTCCCCTCCATCACCTTTCTGATCCCTTTCTCCCTTTTTCTCCTTTATCTCCCTGTATCATCCTCTCCCGGGCTCTCTGTCCGCTCTGCCTCCTCCCTGAGTCTGCACCGCCATGTCCCCCTCCCAGATGTACCGGCTGACCCTGCGCACCAGCAAGGAACCCGTCTCCCGTCACCTGTGTGAGCTGCTGGCCCAGCAGTTCTGAGCCCTGGACTCTGCCCCCCGGGGATGTGGCCGGCGCCGGGCAGCCCCTAGGACTGAGGCAGCTTTGGTGGATGGGGCAGCGAGGGGACCTCCACTGGTGACAGGGAAGACCCCAGGGGTGGGGGGACGCCTGGAACCTTCCTCCGGCCTTTTGTATTTTTATTTTTGTTCATCTGCTGCTGTTTACATTCTGGGGGGTAAGGGGGAGCCCCCTCCCTCCCTTTCCCCCTTAAGCACAGAGGGGAGAGGGGCCAGGGAAGTGGGCGCCTCCTCCCCTCCCACCCCACCCCACCGTAGCCCCTCCTGCCCCCTCCCCATCCAGGGGCTGTGTATTATTGTGAGCGAATAAACAGAGAGACGCTAAGAGCTGTGTGTGTGGGACCGGCTCACGGCCAGGGGTCAGAGGAGTGGGGTGAGGGCATGCAGAGTGTGGGTGGCCAAGCCCCGCAGCGCGTGGGTGGGACTCTGGGCGGACAGCAGTAGCAGCCGCCGGGGCCCCGACTGCAGAGCCACCAGCCGCCATCCTGTGCCTGGCTCCTCGGGCCCGGACACCAGGTAGCAGGCTCTCGGCACCTGGCTCCTCTGGGCCGCATCCTCCACCTTCTCCTCTGGTGACCCCGGCTCTGGAGGAAGGACAGGAAGGGCCAAGGTGACCAGTGGGGCCCAGACAACTAGAATGCCAACCTGCAGGAGCAACACCACACCCCGGGCCTAAGTCTGACTCCTTGACGGGCAAGGGCCTCATGGCTCCAGCTGGCTGTCAGTTGCCTGAAGGAGGACATGGACCTTCTCCCCCTTCTTCCCAGCCAGCCTCCATCCCCCCCCCCCCTCCTGGGGATGCTCTTTGCAGCCCTGGACAGTCCGCTTAGCAACACAGATCACAGACACGCAGGTATGCTGACCAGGTACTCCAGGCACAGCCCTTGGAACCCCACTTTACATGGGGGAGGTGGAGTCACGCAGCTAGGAGGGGCTAGTCCTCTGGCCCTCCTTTGTCTCCTTAGGGCCTCAACTTTTCCTTCCTCATCTAGGCTCTGTGGAACAACCCCCATCAGTGTGGATGCCCCCGTCCTCCCTTGTGTGAGCGGAGACTCAGTGTCCTAGAGTGCGCAAAGGGGGCACACCTGGTGGGAAGTGTGAGGCGGTGACCAAGGTGTAGAAGGCGCGCAGGAGGCGCCGACGGTGCTCAGGAGAAGGCTCTGGTGGGGGGGGGGGAAGAGAGGTTGACAGAGAGCCCTTCCTGGGCCCAAGCTCCTCCCGGCCTCACCCTCCTCTCAGTCACCTTGATCCGCAGAGGGCTCCACCGTGAAGAGGCAACGTTTCAGTTCCAGGTGGAGAAGCAGCAGCCTGTGAGAAGGGGGCTGTCATGGCCAGGGCAGAGGGGATGAGGACCCCCAACCCACACCCCCGTCCAAGCCCTACCCGAGGATGTCCATGTGCAGGGGGAAGCCAGCGGGCAGCGCTCGGGGTCCCAGCGGCACGCAGGCCCGCAGCGGGTCTAGCACTGGCTGCCACCAGCGGTCCAAAAGCTGAGGCGAGGCCGGTGGGCGAGGTCAGGGGCGGGTACCAGGGAAGGGGGCGTGGCCAGGGAGGAGAGGAGGGGCCCACGAGGGCGGGAGACCGAGGGGACCAAGAAAAGGGAGAAGCCTGGAAGGATGGAATGAGAGCGGTAGAGGGACCGGGCTGGCGGGAAGGTGATTGGAACGCAGTCCGCGGGGGGCGGGCCCTGGTGGAGGGACGGGGCTGACGAGGGGCGGGCCAAGAGTGGAGAACGCCGGCAGGGCGGGGTGGTGTGAGAAGGGCCGCGGCTGGCGGGCAGAGGGTGTCACAGGGGAAAAGCGGGGACATGGGCCGGATTCACCTGTGGATCCAGCTGGCTGAGGGGAGGGCGCGGCCCGCAGAGCAGACACAGCTCCAAGCCCGGCAGCAGCGTCAGGGTCAGAAGCCGGTGCGGGACCTGAAGGGGGGCGCAGCATGGGCTGGCCGGAGCTCCGCCCCTTCCCACCGAAGCCCCGCCTCCTCGCGTCCCGGCCTCTAGGCCCTCGGCTCCCACCTGTCCCAGGCGCCCCGACGCCCCTCCAACTCACCGTGGGACTCCCGTGCGGCAGGTACACCGGGTAGTCTCGAGCGGCCTGAGGCGGCAGGGACCCCACCAGCCAGGGGAGCAGCACGGCCTCCGGCGTCCCCAGCCGCCACCAGCTCTCTGTTGCCGCCACCACCCGGCCCGACACGACCAGGCTGCCAAAGGCCGTGCCCGCCGCTTCGGCGAACCCAGAGAGGGCTTCCTGGGTCAGGAGACATGAGCAGGGGTTGGCAGTGACTTCCCAGGTGGGCGAGGAGTGTGAAGAGACGGGCGTACGATTCCAAGTTTGCCTAGTGGCATGCTCACGTGCCTCACCCTCCCCGGGCCTTCACCTTCACAGGCAGGTGCCATCCCCGAGTCACACTGTAAAGTTAAACAGGGAGGGTGGCCGCTCCCTAGCCTGACACGTGTTACTGAAGCTCATGATCACAACAGCCGCAGCTGCGGCTTATTGAATCCTACTGTGTGTCAAGTAGGCGCAATCAACCACCTACTCCAGCTGGGAGAGGTCAAGTCACCTGCTCCTAGTCACGTCATGAGAGGTGGCCACGCCAGGAGAATCAACAAGAGCAGTATTTAAGGAAAGATAGATGGAAATTCACCAGCAAAAGGAACAGCATGTGCCAAGCAAGGAAGTTGGGAAGTTGTTGGGGTTCCGGGGACCCCTGAGGCAGCCGGGTGAAGGTGGACTGTGGAGTTAGCAGAGGTCAGGGTGAGCATGTTGGTGGGCTTCAGATTCCACAGGTCCTCAAACCCCAGGCTGGGGGGACGGGAAGCCATGGGAGGGCTGTGAGCTGGAGAGGGGTGGGGGTCAGTTCTCGGGGTAGAAAGACCCTTCTGGGGCCAAGTGGGGGTTGGAATGGAAGCCCAAAGGAGGAGAAAAGGTCGAGGCAACAATCCAGGGGTGAGAGGATGAGGGCTGAGCCAGGGCCAGCGACAGGTTTAAGGGTTCCCAATGCATTCTCAGTACCTGCAGGAGAGACCCCTCGGGAGGAACCACGCAGTCCACACACTGGGTCAGGTCCCCGATGAGCTCAGAGTCCCCCAGGAAACTGTCAATGAGGCGGTAACTGGCCTAGCAGGGGGAGGAGGGAGGAGCTTAGGACCCAAGTGGGCCCCAGATCTGCTGCCTCCCCTTCAGAAAACTAGCCCAGCTGGGCCTGGCTCTAGGGTCAGTGACCAGGCTGCCCCAGGGGCTCCTGGGAACTGTAGTTTCCGAATATCAGTGACCTGGGAGCCTAACTTCCACGCTCACGTCCTGCAGCCTCACCCTCAACTCCTTCTTCAGTCTCTCTACGTTGCGGATATTGGTCAGTTCTTCGAGTCCTACAAGAAGAACCTAGAAGAACCAAGTAAGAGAGCCGGGGTTGGGTGTGGATCTGGACTCCTGGTGTGAGGGAGAAGGATGCTGAGAGCTCAGATTTCTGGGTTTGGGGAAGAGGGCTGGGGAGTCTCACCATGGCGCCAAACACCATCTGGAGTAGTCTCTCCAGCCTCAGCTCCGAGGTGCCCTCCTCAGATGACAGAACAATGAGGGTGATGCTGTGAGAAAGGAAGGTGAGAAGGAAGAATGAGTCCAGGCCAGGGAAACAGGGCCGTGAGGAGAGGAGAGTCTGCCCTTGATCCTGGACGCCAGCTACATCTTTGGCCAGCCAGCATAACCTGCTTCTCATACGGAGAAACGTAGGGATCGGAGAGGGTAACTGGCTTGTCGAGGATTCCACAGCCAAGTAAACAGCTGGCCGTGGAGAGCCGGTAGGCCTCAGGGTCATCTTCAACGGGGGCCGTCACCCTGGCCCTGGCCCTGCCCCAAAAGCTATAGCTTGGAGACCTGTCATGGAAGCTTTTCCACACCACGGTCGTATCCTCCGTCCTTGCAGAGCGCAGCTGCACCTCGAGATTCTGCCCAAACATGTGCACTCCATTGAGGGAACCGATGACAGAGAACGGGAGCTGGGGAAAAGTTGGGAACATTAGACAGGAGCCCCCAGTCCCCTCCACCTTGGAACCCAAATGTCCAGGGCCCCAGCGCCCTCCTCTTTCTATATCCCCTGGCCCCTCCTCCTCTGGGAACCAGGATTATTAGTCCAGTCATTGCACCCTTGGCCCTCTAAACTCAACTCTGAAACTTCTCCAGACCCTACTCCCTTGACGACCCAGAGTCCAAGGGCCTAGCCCATTTCTATTTTGAAGATCCAGGGGTCCAGGGCCCCACCTGCTGGCGGGCGGGGGCGCCGCCGCGGCTGCTTCTGCAGAATAAGGGGACTCCGCTGGAGGCCGCAAGGCAAAGCAGATGTACGGTGCCCTTTGTCCCCTCCTCGCCCATCTGGAACCCCTCCAGTCCCCTCGTGGGGGCGGTCAGTGACCACCTTGGAGTATGCCCGTAGTCACACTAAGTCGGGCGGCCGGGCGGCCGTCCGAAGCCGCCAGAGGGAGAGATGGGGAGCTGATTGGAAGAGAAGGAGATTTCCCGCCTTCTTCATCCAACTCAAACCCACCCTCAGTCTCTCTTCCAGCACCTCCCCAAACCCCATTAGGTTCTCTTCCGCCTCAACCGGAAGTCACCTGCCCCTAACAAGGATGGCGCCCATCGTACGTGTAAAGCTTCGTAGTTTCCCCCTCATGGTTCGATTCCATTTATTTAAAGAAGAGAATGAAGAGCCCGGCTTGCAAGTAGTGACCGCGCCAAGGCGTTGTCTAGCAAGCATCAGGTAGGCTAGGATGTTTTCCATTCTAAATTGATAAACAGCTGTGCCCCACTCAAAGATGGTGGCGGTGCCGAGACGTTGCCTAGCAACCACATTCCGTCTAATTTCCAGTCTAAGGCTGCAGAGAGCAGTGCCCCACTCCAAGATGGCCGCATGACGAATCCCGAGCAAAACCGAGAGAAATACCATCTCCCCCCTTCACCCTCGCGGGATGGTTTGGTCCGGCCAATGTTGCCTAGCAACCACCAAATGAGGTGGTTGTTTTTGTTATTAGAAAAAGAAAGATGAAATCCTTTATTTTCCAGAATCATTAAAAAAAAGGTTATTTCTGTAATTTATACATGTTACTGCAGCACGCTGAACGTGAAACTACTTCCCAAGCCCTTTCCCGAAATAAAAATTTGACAGCTTAACACAGAACATTCACACATTTTGACAAATATGATCACGGGTGCTAATGTTGTCTTCAAACTTTTTCTCATTAGACCAAATAAATATATGTTATTTTTTTAAAATGTCTTTTTGTAATCAACATCATGGATGTAACAAAATCGATTTAGCCAATCCTGTATTGACGTACGTTAGTTTCCTTCCTCTGTGTGTTTAAACTGATAAAGTAAAATTTCATTCAGTTATGAATTTAATCAGCTAGAACTTTTCTATTTTGTGAGAATATGGCCTTCATTCACCCAAATGTATTTGTGAAATATATAGTAATGTTAAGAAACGTGTTTCCTTTCAAACAGGTTTTGCCTGCATTCTAGATTTGATTTCTTTCTTTTTTTTTTTTTTAAGATTTATTTATTTATTTTAGAGAGACAGCATGAGCAGGAGGGGCAGAGGGGAAGAATCTCCAGCAGACCCTCTACTGAGCCCACAGCCCAACAAGGGGCTCCATCTCTCAACCCAGAGATCATGACCTGAGCCGAAATCCAGAGTCAGACAGCCCTTAACTTACTGAACAATCCAGGCACCTCTCTAGATTTGATTTCTAAAAGCTGATAATATTAGGATGTTTATCCGCACACTAAATTGCATCAAACTTTTAGAGGAAGAAATGTACACAAAATAACAAATGAGTAGGGAGGCACCTGGCTGACTCAGTCTGAGGAGCCTGCAACTCTTGATCTTGGAGTCATGAATCTGAGCCCCACATTGGGTGCAGAGATTACTTTTTAAAAATGAGTTAGGAATGCCTGGGTGGCTCAGTCAGTTGGACATCTAACTCTTGATTTCAGCTCGGGTCATGATCTCAGGGTTGTGGGATCGAGCCCTGAATTGTGCTCTGGGTTCAGCGTGGAGCCTGCTTGGAATTCTCTCTCTCTCTCTCTCTCTCTCTCTCTCTCTGCCCCACCCACCTGCTCACGTGCTCTCTCTCTCTAAAATAAATAAATCTTTTTAAAAATGAAGTAAAATCTCAATTTCTTCCTGTAGTTCTGTGGATTTTTCTTTAGTCCATTTATATTTATTATGACTACTGATATATTTGGATTTATTTCTACCATCTTATTTTTATATTTCTTATCGTCCTGCCTTTTTAAGGCTTTTTCCTCCTTTCTTATCTTTCCCTGGATTATTTTTTCATTTCCTCAATCCATTTTTCCCTCTGTCTTCTGGTTTCAAATGTATACACTCTAATTCTCTTTTGTTTTTATTGGTTACCCTTGAAATTTTACCATACACAATTTAGCAAAAAGTTAAACAAGATCTTAAATGCTCTCTCAAATACTACAAAGGGCATATAGCAGTTTACCTCTGTTAAACTCCATCCAGACTAACCAACTAAGTGTTATCAGCATTGTAGCTGTGACTTTTTTATGCCTTCGTTGGATATTTTTCTTATTTTATGCAGGCAATGTTTGTTTGTAACTACATAAGTGCTTGTGTTTCATTCGCCCTCCCATTTCCTTCCTGCCTCTCAGACCATCCTTTCGAGATAATTTTATTTTTTTTAATTTTTTTAAAGATTTTATTTATTTATTTGAGAGAGAGAGAATGAGAGATAGAGAGCACGAGAGGGAAGAGGGTCAGAGGGAGAAGCAGACTCCCAGCCGAGCAGGGAGCCCGAGGTGGGACTCGATCCCAGGACTCCAGGATCATGACCTGAGCCGAAGGCAGTGGCTTAACCAACTGAGCCACCCAGGCGCCCCTCGAGATAATTTTAAATTTGCCTCCTTTCTGAAGTACATCTTACTGGAAAACTGTTTCTCTCCTTACACTTCTGACACCCATTGTGGGAGTTGTCCACACCAAGCAATCCTCCGGGTTTCTGTGGACACCAACAGAAAACTTACAAGTCAATTCAATTCTGACACTAACCACCAGGAAGCAGCACAGAGAAGGTCAAGGGCTCAGTCCCAGGAGTCTGTCCCCACTTCAAACACCAATCAGAAGTAGTGGGTCGTCAGGATATCCATATTTCTGTCTGAGTTTGCTACAAGTTGGGGGTTCCACCTTCTCAGATTTCATAATTTGCTATAATGGCTCACAGAGCCCAAGGCAGCACTTAGTATTACTGGTTTCTTTTCTTTTCTTTTCTTTTCTTTTCTTTTCTTTTCTTTTCTTTTCTTTTCTTTTCTTTTCTTTTCTTTT